ATTATTATTATTATTATTATTATCATCATCATCATCTCGCATTGTGGTGGATTCAAATTGTACGACTTTTTGTAGAGGAGATTAGGTGATGAAAGCTCTGCCTTGAATTTTTTCTTGATCTTTGTTTAATCATTTTATTTTATTTTTATTATTATTTTATTTTATTTTTTATTTTTTGTCTGCAGATGAGAGAAACCAAACTCAAGGTAAACTACAAGAATGGTAAAATACTAAAATCTAATTGAAAGTTTTGTAGAATTGTTATATAGTAATTATTTTTCACGTGCACATGCGAATTTAAAATATGGTTCATATGGCGTCAAACTAAGTACTAATCGATGTGTGAATTGAACCATATGAAATATATATACATATAAATATAATATATCGGGGTGGATCAAATGAGGACACTTCTTAAAATGAATACGTGATGCTCGATTTTAGTCATTTATTGTTGTCTAGATGAATGACTCACATTTATCGATTGAATTATATATTAATTAAATAATAACAATATTAATTATTATATTCAAATTAAATATATAATAAAAAAATATAATTATGTTGACCGGCGTTGACCATTGGTCGATTGGCCGTTGACCAACATTGACTGTCAATCAGAGGCAAACATCATTTTAGCGACCACGTGTTCCGGTGTTGATCGACCGCCGGCGATTCCAGCTCCGTCCGGCAGGCGATGGAAGCGGAGGAAAGTGGTGGCGGATGGCGGCTGGTTTTTTTTTCCATTGGATGATCAGACTTAATGGCTAAGATGTATTCTTATTTCTTTATTCAACACCATTCCTACTTGACCTCAACCCTATACATAAAGAAAAAGGCTACATGTACATAATAAATGTACATAAAGATGTACATAACACTCACATTGGGGTCCATTTGATTTTTTAATTTTAGTGGGTCTCACTCAATGTGAGTGTTATGTACATCTCTATGTACAACATTATGTACCTATAGCATTACTCATACATAAATGGGTTCAAATGAGAATCATACATAATGAAAGAATAAGAATACATTTTTATCACAAAATCCAATATATCAAAAGTTATGATCAAGTCAAAGTTTATCGATGACAGTCATACTTGTGATGGCATTATAGTAAATAAGTATACATATTGTAGTCAAATGTATAAATTTTACCCCTTAATAAGGGCTTTCTGGTCACTGTACTCACCCACCCACCCACCAACAATTAACTATTTTTTACACTTCTACACACACACACACACACACACACACACACACACAACTAACACACTGTACACACACACACAGGTGCAGGCTCGCCGGCATTGCCGCCTGCTGCTGGTCCTGTCGCCAACCACCACAACATTCACCTTTCATTCACACACAAATAGTAGCCACCACCCCTGTTGCCACCCGCCCATTGGCGTCGTCACCAGAACTGCAACCGCCCTAGTTCCCTGCCGTCTCCATCCGCAACAACAACCCTCGCAACCACCAGCACCCACCATCTTCACCACCGCCGTCCACAGCCTTGACAGTCACGCAGCCGCCGTCATAAGACCCGCCTCAGTCACAAGTCTACTCCTCCATTGACATCCTCCATCCCATCACTATACCTTACTTTCTTCCCCATCTCACTTTCGTATATTAACTTCAGCATCTAAGTGAAGATATAGCAACTTAAGGCGCATGAATCAAAGTCGGTACTGGCACCGACAACAGAAAGTCGACATTCGAAGTAAAACTGATTTCAAAGTTCACAAAATTTGATTTGTGGGGGTTTTTTTCTCTAAAAATTGGTTAAACATTGAGGACATATATGCAATTATTGAAGTTTTAATATAATGCACTTTAGGTCCAGGTAAATTTGCTATATATTGCACAATAGTAATACGTAAATTGCACAATATTGTGTGAAGTCATGAACATTTAGAAACATGTAACAACATTACGAAATTACGTAATTTCATAGCCTACACTTTATAAATTTACCAAATTTTACCTTCGCTGGTGTTATTTATCGGTTAGCTCGGTTGAACCAATCGATATAAATTTCAAAACTAAAAATAACTGAGTCCAATTCTTGAAAAAACCAAATCGATTGAACTTTTGTCCCAAACGAAACTAATTCCGAACAAAAATAATCAATTTATTCGATCGGTTATGCGATTTTAACCAATATAATAGAAATAAGTTGCTATTTATATTTACGAAAACGTATATTAGTATGCTAATATTTTTAAAACAAAATATTTCAAACTGAAATGACCTAAATTGTAAAATTGAAAATCAATAGTCGAACCGTCCTACAACAAACAAACTGAAATTATTATGGTCGGGTTTTCAGTAATTTTATTCAGTTTTCGTCGAACTTTGCACCCACTATATGTACGAAATACACAATATTGAAAAATTTAACGAACCTTATTACCTATGTAAATGCACGATAATACATGAGTAAATGCACATTATTACATTTGTAAATACACAATAGTGTAACAAGTGCGATTTAATGTTCACTAATGTGCAGCTTGTCTATTTAGTTTATGCAGTCCATAATGAAATATTTTTTATGTACATACATACAATAGTATACTTTTCATTAAATTTTATAAATTACACAGTCATCTCTCATGAATTAGATTACAATATAATTAAGTTTCCTAACATTTAATGCATGTAAAAAACGCGTAATAGTGTACTTTTGATTTTGTCACGGTGGGATAATGTGTAGAATACGTTGTTGCGTTATTGTGCACTCTCAAAATCACCAATGTGCATTTAGTTATCACTAATGTGCAGTATGCAAACATGTAGTTTTTAATGGACATAATATTGTAGAATTTTAATATATTAATTAAATATTCATTTATTATTTTTTTATAAACTAAAGTTCTGCCACATGAACTAAAATGAATATAATTAATAATTTCAGTTCGTTTATTGTTGGACGGTTCGACTCGTCGGCAATCTTGTGGTGGGTGTATATGGCGATTGAAGCCACGAAGACGTCGACAGCGAACAGATGCGACATCATGTGTTGGGATGCGACGACGACAGATGAGACGGATGAGCGAGCATGTGGTGGATGTGGGGCGGCAATGGATGGTGCGCTGGTGGGATGTCGAAGGCGAAGGGATGACCGACTGTGTGTTTAGGTTTGTATATTTGTGTATGCATGCATGTGTATTGTTTGTGTGTGGTGTATGTGTGTATGTGAGATAGGGGGTGCGTGTGATGGTGTAATTATAGTGGCCACGTGGCATGTAATTATTGGGGGTGGGTGAGTGGGTAATTGGTATGAGTCCCACAGATTGATGATAAAATGTCGAAATAGCCTTAATGAATATATAAATGTTGGAAATTTTGTTACAATCGGAGCATCCGATCTGACGGCTAAAATTTATTCTTATTTTTTTCACGGAGCAAAATTCCCACCCGTCAATCCACACCGCCTCCACCCCCAGCGCCGGGCGAGGCTCTCCACTGCTGGCCTTCAGCATTTCCGACGACCGCCGCTCCAGCGCTGTCGATCCGTTAAATTCTCGTCGCGAAGGTCGACAACTACATCTGCCGCTTCAGATTGCCACAGGCACTGCCACGCCTTCCTTCCTTTACCCGACCTCAATCATGCTCCCACACGTGTCGCCACAGACCAACTCTCTATTGCGCCTCTCGTCGCCGGTTACGTCGTCCAACACATTAACTTCATCCTCTGTAATAGCCGCTTCCTCGCCGACGAGGGGTGGTTTCGGGTTCAGTGCGATGGTGGAAGGAAAGTCCTTTCCAAGTTTCTTAGACTGTTTGAGAGAAGTTCGCGGCCAAAATACTCCCTCCACTCAATGATGTCAGGCGACACGAGAAGAAACAATTTTGGGAGTGGGTTGATTAGGATGAAAAGAAGCCCGATTTCATAAATTAGGGTCGGGAAGGGGGTGTGCTTTTTTTGTAAATTATGTAATTTGAAGGGATCTAATTGTAAATTAAGATGTTTTAATTAAATTTCAATTTAGTCAATGCGCCAAATCTGTAGTTTATAGAAATAT